GGGGTGTGAGCGCTTGTGGTTGAACATCAGTGCCACATTAATCTTTCTGCGCTTCCATGCAGGTTCACATTTGACTATTAGAGTAGCGAGTTGGACATGGAACGCGCTCGTGTGTTTACGCTTGGCCCGAAAAGAAAACTTGCCTCGAAGTCTTGCATTGCCTCGTTTTTGGACACAAATTTGCGTCCACAAACGGGGCAATACAAGATTTCACCAGCGTTCAAACTCACTGCGCCTGCCAGCACTTTCAGACCCTGCAGCACGTGCGTGTCGTGTTTGGAGGGGTTTTTTCGCCGCCGCGTGCCTAGTAGAAGAGGAGGAGGAGCAGGAGGAGGCGCAGGGTACTAAATTGGAGCTTCTGGCTGGCTTTGCTGGAGTTTCTAACAGGCTGTGCTCGGGTTTCTAGCTGGCTTTGCTGGATAGTGCCGGTAATAGTACTAGAACTTTTATTAGTACTAGTAGTTATTCTGCCCGTTCTAACATACTACTAATACTCTACACTTCATTCAACTGGCAGACTTGGAAGACCAGGAAGAGGACACGGAGGAAGATGTTCAGGAACATGATGACTAGGAGGATGATTCGGGGAAGATGAAAACAGGGAGGAGATTCTGAGGAAGATGAGATCAAGAAGGATCATACAGAGGATGATGTTCAGGGAGCCCGGAAGGATGATGCCAGGAAGATTGAAACCAGGAGGCCGGCCAAGAGGATGATGCAGAGGAGGAAAACTATTTGACGATAATTTGAAAAAATACTTCTTGTTCCTGCACTCAGTCAGTGGCTCCGAAAATCTCATAACTTTGATGGTTCATGTAAACCCTGAGGCAACTTAAAGTGTCACCATGTGTGTCCCACGTTGAAGGACGCTGAGGCCCCAGCCGCAACTTCACGGAAGATGCTGAGTGCCTCCTGCGCAGGGGCCAAGGCCTCGAAGACCTGACGAAGGCATTGGAGCTGTTCGCGCGACTTGCACGTGGCTCACGTGTTGGAATGGACTTTGCTCAAGTGTTTTGGCCTTAAGCTGGCCAACCAAGCGCTTTGCCTCGACAAGCCTCACATACGGCAGAGCTTGTTGTTAATCCTGAAGTCCGAAAAAAGATAAGCAAACGCATCCAAGTTGCTGCTCTTTGGCGCGTTCTTCTCGGGGCGCCATTGCTGAGCAAGGCAGTTGACACGTAGGATGCTAAGATGCCATTGGCTTTGAAGTGGCTGTTTTCGAGCTGCGACAAGACCATTTGTTGCGTCTTGATCATGATGAGAACCGGAAGCAGCTGCGACTGCATCAATGAAAGCTTTGCAATGCAACGAGGACTAGTTGCAACAATGCCCGCTAGCGTCTCTAGTTCACTTTGGAACAGCGCAGGTTGCCACGCATTTTGTTCAGTGCATCGTGGCACAATATGCGCATTGGTGGTGCCGGCTTAGAAAGGCAAAGCATATATGCCCAAGCTCTGTGAAAGAGCTCCCACACATTGGCAGTGTTGCACCAAAATAGTTAGGAGTTTGAGTGCTTACTCTGTCACCTTGGTCTGAGAGGGCAACCCTGGTGACAACAAATAGCTACGAAGGTCCTGCCAAACTCTCGGCTGGGCACAGGGGACCGAGAAGTTCGGATAAGAAACGATTGGATTTGTCCACGCGCAGAGTGCGGGCAGGCCACTGGCTGAGCTCCCATAGCTCGACCATTTGACCACCCGACACCCAAGAGCATCATTTTTCCCGGAGGTTTCCGGAGAGGTCATGGAAAATATGCCCCCGAAGTACACATCCCCAAAGAGACGCATCATGCCGGTCTCGCAGCCATCCAGCAAAACTTGATGTGCACATGCCCAATGGAATAAGAAGACATTTCTTTAGGCTTTACCGCTATGTAGGGCCTGTGCAGTGAGAGTTCGAACTACTCAGGCGCTATGTCACGCCGCAAGCCACAGCAGCACAATGCGGTATAGGCTCAAAGAGTCTACCTTCAAGGCCTGGATAGAATCTGGTTCTTGTTCGCAATTTTTCAATCGAGGAGTTTGTTTGATTCTTGGGCTTAAAATCCTTCGAAAAGTGTCAAGTACTCTGTGAGCAACGCCTTCTCAGCACTTTGGAACGAGTTGCTGCGCTGGCTCAAGGAAGCCTGAGCGAGTTACAGGAACCAAGCAAACTTCAATGATGTCAGCTTCAGCGTTGTGTCTGCGAATGCTTTGCAGCGATGGCCACGGCACTCTTCCAAAGCATGCTAAGCACAGACATGTCCTTGAGGGCCCTGCTAATTGAAGTGTTCAGTCCTCCGGCGCTTTGGCGTGTCTTGTATTTGCTTGCTGCTACACATGAGGCGAACTTAGCTTCTGCGACCTACTCACACTCGGCATACCCATGACAACTTCAAAATTTCCAAAAAAATACTTTGCGGCTGCCCCGTGTCATCCAAAAACACGTCCTGCGCTGATACCATCTCAGCTGGCAAGTCAGGTCCAGTCAGAACCTCTTCAACATACAGAGTGGTTGGGATGCAAAACACCACGCAGGCACATTTTGGTTGAAGGACCTAAAGATGCATGGATCCTAAAGCACACTTACACGGCCTCAGAAACTTCGCAGGGAGTTCATGATCCCGTCTTAGTCTTCAAACATTCAACACGTGCTTGTAGGCCAATTAGCTTCCCAGCCATAAGCAACCAAAACACCGATGAAAACAAAAAAAAGGCGCGTCGATTAGGAAGCTGGCCACGACAGGCCGGAGCCAAATCAAAATCCGTCTTCCTGAGGCTGTAATGCGGATGGTTGCCAAAAATCGCGACCCTCCTTGCCGCTAACGCTGAAACCAAGACAATAAGGCAAGCACACAGGTCCCGGTACTTCTGGGTGAAAATTTACAACATGGAAACTTCGCGCCCATACCATACAAAAAGTATACAAAGCATGATTGCAATCAACCGTGCATTGCTGACTTAATTTTCGAAACGAGCAAAATCGTGGCAATTGTGAAGCACCTGTGAGCAAGTCTGCACAACCACCAATTCCACATGCGTTCAACTATGTTCACCAAAAACACACGTTCTCAATCTGAAAACGTTGTGAAAGCCTAAGACGAAGACCTGCTTCACGCGCCAATCTGGCCAGCACCAACAGCAACCACAACCACAAATAAGGACAACTACGACGACTGCAACCACCACAACCTCGGCGGCAACGGCAACTAAACTCTTGTAATCGTCCAAATCTTCAGCATCATCGTCGTCTTTATTAGGCTCGAACGCAACGCAAAGACTCTTTGCGGCGGTGGAAAGAATTAGGCTCGATATCATGCAATCATAGTCGTGGACAACAGGCTCATAAAAGCAACACGACGAAAATTCTATCCACGTGACAGCAGCAGTAGCTGCTGTCCATGACTAACTGGCACACCTGGAGCATGTATCATCTTCTGTGCCTGCTGAATCACATTCTCGTCAAGCTTCTGCCGGATCGGATCGAGCTTCACCTGCAACTGTTTTCTCATTGATTTTCCGACACTTTCAGGTACCTAAACGAAGTTCCCGAGTACCTGTAGAGTGGATGTTACTCTTGCCTGCGTGACCCTGGTAACGCCGGTCTTTGTCTCGCCACCCTAAGGGAGCATGTACTTGCACAGTGGCATCAGTTCTGGATTTCACAACTTGAATGGCCTCATGTCCCAGCTAGTGACTAGGCAGAATCTCCAACAAATCGGGGGCAGAGCAATCGGAATCTCGACAATCTTCTCCACGGTCTGAATGAAGGGAACCTGCTTGTGCTGCAGCTACAAATGCTTGAGATAGCCACAGGACCAAAACTTCTTTTGTTCTTGCTCACGTCTGCAGATCGCCTTGCATTCTGAAGGAATGCAACCTCGTGCCGTTCACAGATCTGCCCCCTGATTCCTGCTGCATCTCTGTGCAGTCGGAAGACTAATGCAGCCCCATGTCACAAGACGTTTTAGGCAAACCTGGAAAGGTGCACAAAATCATTTTGCGTTTTTGAGTGACCCGATTTCTCAAGACTGAATTTTGACACATGGTGATGCCAGACCTGTCTTGTGCTTCGGTTGCTAGCATATCTAGATTGTAGCAGAGATTTAGCATCCGTTGGAGTGGCAGCCGCACCTTTGCCTATGCACTTCCTCCATTCCAAGTGGAATGGTTCCTTAAAAACAAGCCTCTCAGAAGAAGACTCAGCCCAAGCTCACCTCGACAATCTTTTCGATGGTCTGCGTCGTTGGCACAGTTACCTGCTTAATGACCGGGACATCGACCACCTGAGTCGGATTGTTCCCGTTTAAGCTTTCCCCTGTGAGCATGCTATGTCTGGGATCTTTGGCACCTGCCTTCTCCAACGTCTCGACCACGGAAACCTAGCAGAAAATCAGATACAGCAGTAGACATCCAACATCATTGCAAAGAGCTAGCGACCCGATGCTGCGAGGCGCTCGCCTCCACAGTCCTCTCCACCTGGCTGGAGACGCCGACGTGCCCTCAGTACTCAAAGGCTTCCCATGGCTACAGAAAAAGCCAAGCAGTAGCCTTCAGGAGCACTCAATCTGAGGTCATGGCTAGCTTTCTGAATGGGAATGTGAACATGACGGTCCACATACTCAATCTGCGGAATCTCGACAGCTCTCCTCAGGGCATTTCGATGCTTGGGCGGGCAACGGCGGGCATTCGCCAAGGTGTGTGAGCCGGTAGCTTTAAACTCCAAGAGAGGCCTTTGGTAAAGACTTAGACTTCTGGCATTCATATGATTCCCGGACATGCATTGCCTCCCTGCCATCAAGACACTGGCTGGTGTTCACCACAGGGACATGCACCTGCTTTTGGAAGGGAACCTGGACTTCCTGCCAGAGTCCAGCAAATCAAGCAACGTCCGCCGCTGCAACATCAAAGTGCCACAGAGACTGTTGCACACTCTTTGCTGAAACATCTGAAACTTAGCCGGTGCCAGCAAGCCCTACAGACAGAAGAAAGTTGCAACCACTCATAGAAATCGTCGAAGCCTCATCTACGTACTCCACCTGAGGTACTTCCACTGTGTGCTGCTTCACAGACACCTGCCAGGACTCAGTACAAGGCATGTACCTGATAGAAACGCTGCAAGGATGCTTCAGCAGTGCAGAAGGTGGCCCAATGCCGTACTGATATAAGACTACAGGGGGGAGTGCTGGGCACTTGGATGGCACCGGGTGTCTTGCCTGAGGCACGTGACGGTGCTTCTGGATGGGCACCTGCATAATCAGTCAGAGAGGGTCGGAGTGAGGCAGCTTCGATCACTTGCAAGATGTCGACATAGACAAGCCTCGATCTCCTGGTCAACGTATTCCACCTGCGGAACCTCTACGTGCTTCTGGATCGTGGTGACCTGTGGCACCATCACCTGCTTCTGGACGGGCACCTGACAAGGTCATCGGAAGCTGCATGGAGGCAGCTCTAAATCCGCCCGAACCTCAACCACGTTGTCCACGTACTCTATCTGAGGGACCTCCACCGTCTTCTGGACTACCTCGCCAGGATGAGCATGCAGGCCATCTGGAACATTTGCGTGTAGCAACGGCTGAGTGCCACACATTTACCATGGGCACATGCCGGTGAGCTATTTGAGGCAACTCCACTTCCTGCGGCATAGGAGCTTCTCTGCACTGAACTCGGTGAAACTTATCCAGACAAGAGCAAGCAACAATCCGAAAGCACAAAGTGTTCAAGAATCAACTAAGTGCATGGACGCTTTGCCTGGTCCACGTACTCCACAACCGGCACCTCAACCTCCTTCTGCACCACCATCTGCTGCGGAACCTCCATGTCTGCCAAATGTCAAAGCAGCATGCACGGCAGCTTCTTGCCCTCTCCTGCCTTGCAAGCTCATGCTGCCAAAGTGAGGTCTCTCCCATGCTAATGCAGACAGAATGGTATCACACGTGGATCGTGAAGCACAGAAAAGCGAACCTCTATGATCTTTTGGACAGGAACCTGCAATGACATGAGGCTTGAGCTGAAGAAGCGATGTGCGAAGCCCAGTTCCAGAGCTTGAGAAGGCACAGACGGGACGATCATACAATCTAAGTCAGCAGTAGCATCTTCAGACATTCTGCATGAAGGTCCCGTGTGCTTCACTGCACAAGTCATTTCAACCCAGCCAGTTCTCAAAGCTTAGAGTGCGCTCTGGGCAAAGCGAGGCAAATGGAGCTAAAGAGAACACTTGTGCCTCAACAATCTTGTCGATCCACTCGATCTGAGGCACCTGGCAGCAAATATTAGACGCAAGCAACGCGAGACCTTGTTTGCTAAATGCCGCCACCCTCAAGACCGTGTTGGGATTGGTCCACCCGGGTGGAGGCGAAGACTGAAACGGTTGGTTGGTCGTCTCTTGTCTTCCCCCATCTCCAGTGCAATACGGCCCCTTGTTTTGATGAATAGTTCTTGGTGGTACTGTAGACTGTAGACACAGGACATGGCACAGAGTGCTCCTGCAGAAGTTGCACAAAAAAAGAACTGAACACCTCAACCTCGTATGGCTCCATCAGCTCTCCTGCCAGCTCCTTCGAGCGGAGAAGCAGACGCATTGCAGCGGGCTTTACAATGATTTGCCACCGATGCTTGCCGAGTAAGGCCTCTGGCGCCGGCGCTGTCTGGATGGGCTCGGCTGCGGGCTCGGGCATCGCTGGCTCCATCGGCATCGCTTGGGGCACTAGTGCTTGAGGCACAGGCTGGGGGACCTGAGCCACTTGAAGACTGTGCAAGTCTGACACCTTCGGCAAAGAATTGCAGCTTCTTCTGAATGTCACAAGACCCTATGTCTGGGCCTAGGCATGCCTCTCAGGCCAGGGCTTGAGTTGTCGTCGAGGCCTCCCCAGCAACACAAACTTTGATTGAACACTTTGAAATCGGGTCTTGCCGGACGAGACCAAAGTTGATGCTCTTCGGGCGGAAGCCCAAATTCGGGGTGCATGAATCCAACCGTCTAGTCAAGCAAACAAATGTCCCTTGACAAGAAAAGAAACAGAGCATGTACAGTACTGGTTCAAGCACTCGTGACCGTACATGACCATTGCAAGCACTTACAAGACATGAATGTTGCAAGCATTCAGAATACATTGCTGTGTAAACAAGTAAAGCCAGACACGAGGAAACTGCACAAATAATTGCTGAAAAATGCAAGGGCTCAGAGGCCGTCTAATCTTCCACACAGCTGTGGATTTGTAATCTGCCACACAGGGGTGCTCTCTGCAGGTGCAGGATTCAGCATCCCAAATCCCTTTCTAGGGCTTCGCTAGTTTGGTAGGCCAGCGTCACAACGCTCTGCACGGCCCCCCCCTTTTTTCGACAACGGTTCAACAAATGTGCGAGTCAGTTGCAATCTAGCAGCATGATCTACGAATCAGTTGCAATCTAAAAGCGCCAGCTATCACACGAAAACTCATCAAATAGCACTGCATGATGCACAGCAATCCTAAGCATTGCAAGAAGGAAACATGCAGAGGCACGAAAGCTCCATGCAAGGTTTCACGCATGTACAGCAGTATGACACAAAAACACAAAGAGACTAGAGCAGTGGAGCACTTGACTGCACATGCTCAGGAATGCCCACAGTTGAGACCTTGGGGATGACGACAATCTCCTCCTCGATCACCGGCTTCCTCCGCTGCACGGTTTTGTGCACGACGGTGGGTTTCTCCACCTCAACGATCTGCAGCTGGTTCTGAATCACCTGGGAATGTCAGTGGACAACAACCAAAACAGCATGCTTGACTGGGCTTCACTTACATGGCACTGGATGGACTCCGAAGACACGTGATTGCGAAGTGTGCACCTAAAGAATGCGCTGTACTCGGAGCATATCTGAGCATGTGCTAAATTCAGGGAATGTCTGGAGGAATTGTGAGGAACGCTCAAAACACCAAAGCCCTAAACCTAACCTAAACCCTGATGCCTTGGTGGCGGCTGCATCAACAAGTGAGCCCAGACTGAATACGCCCTCATTTGGATCGTCGATGTATTTGCGTACTCACGTCCAGTCCACAATTTGACTTCAACACGTGTGCCTGCTTAAATTAACTATCTCCAGCTATTTAGTGCAGTAAACGAGCAATACCCAGAGCTCCGCTGACATGCCAATTCCCCAGCTATGTAGAATACCATTGCTTAATCCCGTCTCCCAACACCTATCAACAGCCCCCCCCACCCCCCCGGGCACAAACCTAGGTTCATGGAATGCCTTGCGCTACCCCTAGGGTTAACTCTCCAAGTCACACACGTGGGGGATCACGGCGGGTCTGTGCCAGGCATTTCGCGGGTACGCCAGGCATTATAATGCCTGGCACACCCCTAGTGAAGGCTACCGCCAGGCATTCATTAGGAGGGGGGATATTGTTTAGTTATACTATGCCAGTGCAGACATGCAGCAGTGTCCACCACGGTGTGCGTGATCTTGGGTACCTTGATGATCTTCTCCTCCACTGTGATCTTCGGAACCTCCACCACCTTGACCACCACTTGAGGCTGCGGGACCTCGACGACAACCTCTATGGGATTTTGGATTATTCTTTGTTCTTCACGGATGACGGGGACGTGCACGATCTTCTCCACCTGATCACCACCAGCAACGGACTGGCATCAGTGAAACAATGCATGAAAGCAGCTGCACCTTGCAGCCAAGGAGCACGAGACTCGATCGGTATGTCAACCCACTCTTCTACGTGGAAATTTGTCACCCGCTCCTGCTCCATGACCTTTGGAACGTGCACGACCTCCTCCTGCGTCATCACCAATTGGTAAGCTGACAGATGAAGCACGTGCAAGCGACTCGGACGTGGAGTTTCAACTGGCCGGAACGATTTGGTCCTGATTAACTGCATATGCTGCATCCTGTCATGGGTTTGCACAAGCGAATATGCACCAACTTAAGATTGGAAGCAGCATTAGGGAGCTGCAACTCGCGTCGCGACCCATAAATGAGGCCGTGCGATCAAGTACCGCGCACCTTATGCCGCATTTATGCCTCGCGATGAGCAAAACTGCAGGACTGCAAACACAAGATTGTGAGAAACTGCACTTCTTAAAGTGAGCTTTCAAGACTGAGATGGACGCAAGTTATGAACGCAGTTTTCATTAAATTAAACATGCGAACGCCTCGTCACAGAAGACTGTGCTGAGTGCATAGTCAAAGTTCTCTCTGCAGCTCTCTGCAGTGTCACTGTCTCGGACCAGCACCGTTATTTTTGATGAAAGGCATTCTCTTGGCTCAATCTTGTGGACTTCCACGTGCATGCACCTTCATTGGGACCTGTCGAGTTTCTTAACCAAGGCACGCCATCATGCGCCTTCAATCAACAAGTTTCAGCTTTCAGCCTTGTACGAAATTTTCCGAATATCCAAACACATTAGTTGCCAACTAGATACGCCTGACCTTCTGAGTCTGAAACTGTCCTGAGGAAACATTGCATTCCGACGTGGATGTCAAAACTACTGCACAATTGAATACAATTGAGGATTCAACTTCGGCTTGTGCCAAGTGCTGTCCTGGTTGATGGGGACGGGTACTTCCACCACCTGAATTTCCACACGTTTCCATGACTGCCATGCTTTGCTGCTGCATTTTGCGCTTTGCTTTGCTTTGCTTTCGCTCCTGCCTCCTCCACAGGTGTTTGCAGAACGCGGCGCTGCTGAAGAACCTTCAGCAAGGGCACAGCTGTGAAGCATGAGAACCCGCAAGGAGATGTGGTGTAAGCAAGGCCTTGGGAACGTGCACGATCCTGAGCCAGCGAGTAGGTGATGCGGAATATGTGCAGAAGCTTGCACTTCGTGGAAACATGAAGGGTGAGAATTGAAAGAACACCTTGCCATATGCTTGCCCCAACATGTAAGGCGAGTGCTCCACTTGCTCTTGCACCACTGGAACCTTTGCAAAAAATACAGTTAACGGAGAAGTGGAGGGGCCAATGCCTCAACATTATTCATTTGAGTCAGTGACGTCTACTATTTGCTCAACATGCACCTGTACAGGCAGCGCCAAAAGCAGTTGTCAGTGGATTTCAGCAGTGTGACTGCTCCCAGCCTGTCGCTGGCGGGTTGCCGTCTTCACAACCGGCACATGCACCACCTCCTCTTGAGTGACGGGAACTGGCACTTCCACCACCTGGAGAAACATACACTTGCTGAAATTTACCGCATGCATTTGGGATGTAAAGGGCCCAACCTCTTCCACGTGGTTCATGACAGTCCTTTGCCTGCGAATCCATGAGTGCAAGCTGCAACCACAAACTGGTGACCACAGCCATGCTCATGGGCTGCCACAAGCCTCTGCTCCACTATCTTCGGTACTTGAACGATCTCCACCTGTTCTTGTTGCACAGGGATGTCCACAATCTGCTCCACAGCCACCTTGCAGCGTCCCAGCTACCAGTACCAGCAAAATCACCGTTACTCCTCGAGCTGGAGCCTGCTTTTGGCGGGTGGCAGTGATGACCTTCGGAACCTGGTCTGCAGACGTGGGTCTGCGCACTCTGTGGGCACCAGCCGCAGATTTTGATGAAAAAAGGGCCCGCGCGTGCACGATCTCTTCCTGAACAACTGGAACTGGCACTTCCACCACCTGCTTCAGCTTGTTTGCACAATGGCGAACGCCACGACCTACAGCTGCTACCCAGCCTCCTCTACCGGCTGGTGGATAATCCGTTCCTGGACTCAAGTTCAAGAGCCCAAAGCCACAGCACCACGACTCTCGGTCATTCAGTCCTTGGGGATGATGACGGGCTTCTCCACGATCGGTTGGCCAGGCCTGGGGCCTTCCTTGTACGGCACAGGGTCCAAGAACACCTTGGCAACTTCGCTTCATGCAAGGCCTGTGACAGTCTGTGAAAGGCCTCTGCACTAGCTCACCAACGCAAGAAACATGCAGAGGCACACTTTCCGAATCCGCAAAGGTAAACATGCCACAACAACAATGCATGGAATGAGCCCCATGCTGGCGGCGCCACCATGACGAAAATGGGGGGCGCTTGCACCACCTGGCCGACGATGGGCGCGGCCGTCGTCTGGGTCGGCACTGGAGCCTTGCCAACAAACATGCTGAAGCACAATAGGCATGTAAGGGAACACATGGCATGTGGGCCTAAAGCAACTCGTGCTGCCCTAAGATTGCTTGGGTTTTCCCAACAAGCCTGCATGGGCTCCGCTGGCGGCGCATCGAGCAAGGCAGGCGCTGCTGCCGGTGCTGTTGCAGGTGCGGTTGCTGGGGCAGATGTGACTGGAGTAGCTGTGGGTGAAGCTGCCGGTGGGGCCATGATGGGAGCCATCTGCGGAGCTGGCTGAGGTGCCCCAGGGCCTCCGGTGGCCAGGTGTGTGCTTCATGCAGAGCAAGCAAATCTCTTGCCTGGAAGGTCCACAAGCTGACCGTCCTACCATCTGCAGGCTTCTTGCAAACAATAGTGGAACTATCTAGAAATATAATCTCAAAGTTGGCACGACATATAAAACAAACCAATCAAATTGGGCGTCCTCTGCAACCTGCTTGAATCTCTTCACCCTGCGCACCTCCGGAATCTCCTCCCACGAACACAGCATCAGAACATGCCCTGCCAATTAGTTCGCTTTATGACAATTGCCTGCTCCGTGATGACCTCCTGAATGGTTGGGACCTCTGCCCAAGAACAGAAAATACACGGTAGTGGTATAACATGGTATGACTGCTCCTCCAATTTCCAACATAACAAGTGCTCCTAGTCCCTGCCCCACCTCTACAATGTGCTGCGTCAGCTCACCAGGGACAAGGTTCTCCTTTCCAGAAGTGCAGAGAGAGCGAGACGTTGAATTCAAAGACTGCCAAGTCAGCACAGATTCTTTTTGAGGCACGTACTGGCCTCATAAGCACAGCATGCTTAGCCAGCAGGCTATTTACCAAGACGTTTGTTCAGTACTTTGCAGTCAGAATACAGCGCCTGCAGAGGTAGCTAGTAGCGCTTAATCGGAGACTGCTTCTGCTTCCTGCAATCAGTCCTCCACCACCCTAACCTCTTGTGGAGCTGTCTCCATCTCTGTAGTCAATCCGGTGACATAGATAGCCTCTGCTTCCTGCTTGATGGGGCAGATCGGGACAGTTTTGTAGAATTTTCGACTTTGCACGGCTTCTATTTTTAGACCTGCCTCTTTGGTTGTCATCGTTCTTGGATGAATCTGACAGGGCAGGTACCCGCGCCTCCTCACACACAGCAAATTATCTCAGGCCCAAACAGTTTGGATGTTTGTGTAAGGGCCGCGTTCACTGGGCACCTCAATCTTCTGCCTGGCAAGCAATGCAAAAATGTAAGTCTGCCAAGCGTGGTAGATCAAATCCTGTGCCAGCCACACGTATGGACGGGGCCCTGGATCGCATGCGCGTGCCCCTTTTGGCTGCGGATTGGATCCCTCAGCAACAAGCTTCTTTTAACACAGTACCATCTGAAATTGTAATATATTGCAATGCAAAATCTTTCATGAGCTCTCGCGCCGAGGCTGCAGCCGCGTTCGTGTTAGCACAGGTTCCAGCGTGCTGATGTCCAACCTTCTTACTGAAACGCTCCCAAGCCGAAAATCAAACCGAAAGAGGCTCTCACTGCGTGTTGGTCGGTGCAGACTGGGCGGTGAGCGTCGGCTCGCCCTCCCAGTATGTGTGATGGCGTGCATCAAGCAATTCACAGCTTCCGCATCTTGCTATGTCAAAGACGAGCCTGCTCACCACGCTTGTGGCCACATTTTCTGCAAAAAAGCGCGTCTTCCATGTAGACGTTGCCACACTGGGGGCATGTGGCCTTCAGGGTTGCTTCAGGACGAATTTTTTTTCCTGCCCAACATTTAGCCGAGGCATGCGCTTCCATGGAAGGTTCGGCCGACATGTTTACCTTTCAAGTCTTGCGTGCAGCAAAATTCCACAATATTCCACAATGATGTGCCACTTCACTAGTGCAACGAAGTGGCAAGCAAAAGGCTGTGAGCTCCGCTCCACCAAGGTTGGCGATAACTAGGCGGATGCACACATACCTACAATCGCAGGGTAATTACCAAGCGGCCACACCATGCCAGACCGCTCTTCAACAGACATGCTTGTCAACCGTCCAGGCCTCACGATATCAGGTGACACTAAGCTGGAAGGATGGGGGTAGGACCAAACGTTGCGGTCAGACCCGTTCACCATGAATGACGCAGTACTAGCAGTTGCCTGGCTGAACAGATGTTGCAGCCGGCACACATCAATCAACATCATGCTTGAAAACACCTCTTTCTCGTCCAAGTTCCAAAGTCTGGTCGGCCGCCATGCAGAGGAGTCATTGGCTTAAGATCTGGCTCTCACAAACTTGAACTTGAATCAATTCCCATAAAGCCCATGTGCTGGGCCAGGAAGTGAGACGCTGAAAAGATATCTGGTTTCATGCCAAGTGGAGACTACGAATCTTGTACATCATCCCCGCAAACTCCCCAAACTAATTCCCTTCGCGCAATCATTACAACTCCAATCCCATCTGCTATTATTTTCGGCCCTGTCTTGATAAATCCATCCTGCACTCACCACTCCAGCCTGCCAGAACCCCACTTCAACTCAGAGATTTGCCTGTTGCAAATGGCATTCATGAGGTATATGAGGTGTCACCAATTCTCCACTTTGAAATACGTAAGAAAAACCAACCGTCATTTGACACTGAGCCCCCAGGCAATTGTTTCTTACCACTATCGTGACAAAATGAATATGATGCAGAAACCACCTGCTCTCCAGCCCACGCGAGGCTCAGAAAAGGTCGAAGGGGTTTCCAGATTCTGCGGGAGCTGCATTGGCCTCGGCTCTCTTACCCGCCTTGCAAGCTCTCCAGCCAAGGAGGAACTCAATTACAGCTTTCCACTATGGAGTTGCATGCGGACCACCTGCGGTGGGGCCGGCGCATTGCTGTAGCCCCCGCAAGCGGCCTCAAAAATTCCATCCCCCTCTCAGCTGCACAAGTAGCAGCAATAAATCAGTTCAGTCTAAGTCAGCAGCATTCAGTTGACCTGATGCCGGGCCGGTACCCTGGGCAGCACTTTATGACTCATTCTAACAGACTCTACGCACCGTGAAGATCTCAACTGCACCTGATGCGGCATTATTCAATCTGACCCGTGCAAGGAAGCAATGCGTGACCTGTCAAAAAATACATTATAGTCAAAAAATGAAGATTTGGCGATCCAAAAATGACGTAAGAATCCAAAATTTATTCCACTTGCCAAATGTGGACAAGGAATTGTGGGGCTCGGGGTCCAGATAGTAGTAACTGTCTTCGCTTTTCTACCCTCAGACCCTCTTGGAGCTTGAAGAGTGTCAATAGTCACAGGGATCATGAAGTCGGGGTCGCCTTCGGACCCTCGGATCCTCATGGATTGTGAAAAGTGCAGACAGTCAAGATATGGTTTTAAAAAGTGGGTTTGGGGGCAACCCCCATTTGAAAACAAAAATGATCCGCACAACCTTCCCTTACTGCGAACATAGTGATGACATGATCTTTCTTTTAATTGCAAGCATGGATGCCCTTAAAAAGCGGTTTGGTTGGAGGCGACGCAGCCCCTGAATTTGCAAACAAAATGGTCCGCACAACCTTCCCCTACTTCAAACAGTTGACATGTATATTTCCTGTTAGGAATTCCACCAGGTTTACATTGCTAACAGTGAGGGTTTAGAGTTTAGAGCTTACCAGCCAACATCTCCATTCAGTTAGGGTCTGGGACTTGCGATCCAACATCGCTTTTCGGGGCCCGGGTTTGCCGATTTCTTTTGTGATTATAGCTTCATTTGTTGATTGGCTTCAATTTTTGCATCCCGGATGCAAGCCTGAAGATGTCCTGGTACCAAAGCAGGTGGTGCATGGCCAGAATTTCCTGGGCCCTGCTTGCTCTGCATGATCTGCATCATCCTCAGTCATGCGTCTCTCAATCCCTTCCTAGCATCTCCACACAAAGATTCGAAAAGGTCGTCAACAAAAATGACTGGGTGGTGGGCATCTGCATCTGACTTTGCATTGTCATTTGCCACTGCATCAACCTTGTCATCAAGTCATCGCAGGATCAGATATGGCCACATCATGATTCTCATGCAGTCTCAAAGCTTTCTAGCTTAAGTCTCTTGCCATCTGAATGCTCTACTCAAAACTGCTATTAACACAGGGCACGCGGCTGTTCAGCACTCATCTGCTGCATCTGCTGCGGGGTCAACATGGGCATTTGCGGCATCGGCATCTGCATGCCCTGCATACCCGGAATGTTCGGCATGCCCGGTGTGGGACCGCCTGGCCTCCGGTCATACAAATGCTGCACATGAGTCACATGAAAAACATACCAGCTGCACCCCATCTGCATAGGGGTCATGGGCCTTGGCTCGCTGTTGCCACCCCAAAATTTGATGCAGTGTAGTCTTACTAAACGCAACATGTTGAAGCCACTTTGCTTGGGACGTGGCGCAGCAACATGTTGACCGGCCTGCACAACCAAATCTGCTGAGCTGACACACGACGTTTTCAGTGCAAGTAAAAAGAGATACCAAAGGGGAGCAGGGCATCTGCCAGTCCTGCATGTTGGCTGGGCCAGGAGGGTCACAGAGGTCATCAAAAGCAGAGTAGCGAGCAGTGCTGACTGTCCTGCAAGAACGAAAGCAGCCCTGTCAGCTCCACGAGGCTTCGCGAGTCACTCAGCGCCCTACGCAGGAGCTTCAGCTGCTGCGGCAGCCTGCAAACATGTTGCTCTTGCTGCCTGAGGCATTATTGCACTAAGCGCAAGTGCCTAGACCGCACTGAAAGATCTTCGTAGGCCTTTCCTAAAGTAGCCTGGAGGTACGTTCCTATTCGCCCGGCTCGATTCGTGCTCAATTTTTCAAAATTTGTAGGAAATCCCTGTCGGTGATAAAATCTCAGTAAGCAAGAGTAAGAGCACCTGGGAAGCAATGGCCGGAGCTGCCGGAGCTGCCGGAGCTGCTGGAGCTGCTGGAGCTGCTGGAGCCTGGAAGCCGTGGTGGCTCTTTGAAATCTTCATGTGCATAAGCATGTGGTTCTTCATCCTTTCCTATCCCATACTGCCACTAACGCACATCTATGCAAGCACCACGTAGAGCACCCCACAACGCAGCAGCATTTGCCGTGCCTGAGTAAAGTCCAGGTCAAGGTCCAGCAAACCTGACATCACAGCGACGCCAGGATTCCCAGGAGTGCAGATCTTCCTGAACTTCCTATTAAAATCCGTCAGAACAAGCACCTCATTCCTGCTTAATCAGGAGCTATGAGATTGCAAAGAACGGTCAAAAAGTTGAGCAAAATCAAGGCACCGCCGGACGGCGGTGGATGCGATGGCGCACTGCCATGGTCTGCTCCTGGCAACACAGAATCAGCATGAGTAAGCTGCGCTGGCAATCTCTCAGCGGCAACATCTTCTACTTACATCTGGAAGGGCCAGTTTCTGGATATAGCATGCTAGGCTTTCTGCTCATCATGCGTGGCACCTGCCTGAGAAATCACTCCAGTCTGCACCGGTGGGCTCTGGAACTCCTGGATAGAGCTCTCGGTAGGGAGGCAAGCCCTTCAGATATGAAATACCTGTCCTACAGACATGGTAAATGCAGCTGATGTGGCCTGCTCTGTTGTTCGCAGGTGCTTGCAATCCACCATCTGGAAAGAAGTCATCGGACCTGCAAGCATCAAGAACTCGACGGAAACACAAAAGAGTTTTCAATCTGCGCATGCCACGTCATCTGCTAGCCTGTGGTTCCTTGCCTCCCTCGTGTCTTGATGTCGATGATCGTCCGTATCATCCTCGTACCTGTCTCTGCCCCCTCTGCGATTGCCTTCTCTCAAATCTCTGTCATCATGCCGATCTCGGCGGCCATCATTGCGATCACGCCGATCCAGGAAGTCTCTGTCGTCTTGACGATCCTTTCTGTCCACGTGATCGCGCTCGTAGCGATCCCGATGATCAAAGTGTCCGCGCTCATCCTCCCGCTCCCTATATCTCTCTCGGCGCAAATCATCGCTACTCCAGTCAGGATCTTT